TCTTCTCTGATTGCTGTAGCTAGGACTTCCAAAACTATATTGAATAGTAGTGGAGAGAGTGGACATCCTTGTCTTGTTCCTGATCTTAGAGGAAATGCTTTCAGTTTTTCACGATTGAGAATGATGTTTGCAATGGGTTTGTCATGTATGACCTTTATTATGTTGAAGTATGTTTCCTCTATGCCCATTTTCTGTAGAGTTTTTATCATAACTGGGTGTTGAATTTTGTCAAAAGCTTTTTCTGCATCTAATGAGATGATCATATGTTTTTTATTCAATTTGTTAATATGGTGTATCACATTGATTGATTTGCATATATTGAAGAATCCTTGCATCCCTGGGATAAATCCCACTTGGTCATGGTGTGTGATCCTTTTAATTTGTTGTTGGATTCTCTTTGCTAGTATTTTGTTGAGGATTTTTGCATCTATATTCATCAGTGATATTGGTCTGTAATTTTCGTTTTTTGTAATATCTTTGTCTGATTTTGGTATCAGGGTGATGGTGGCCTCACAGAATGAGTTTGGGAGTGTTCCTTCCTCTGCAGTTTTTTGGAAGAGTTTGAGAAGGATGGGTGTTAGCTCTTCTCTAAATGTTTGATAGAATTCACCTGTGAAGCCATCTGGTCCTGGACTTCTGTTTGTTGGAAGATTTTTAATCATGTTTTCAATTTCATTACTTTTGATTGGTGTGTTCATATTTTCCATTTCTTCCTGGTTCAGTCTTGGAAGGTTATACCCTTCTATGAATTTGTCCATTTCTTCCAGGTTGTCCATTTTATTGGCATAGAATTGCTTGTAGTAGTCTCTTAGGATGCTTTGTATTTCTGCAGTGTCTGTTGTAACTTCTCCTTTTTCATTTCTAATTTTATTGATTTGAGTCCTCTCCCTCTTTTTCTTGATGAGTTTGGCTAATGGTTTATCAATTTTGTTTATCTTCTGAAAGAACCAGCTTTTAGTTTTATTGATCTTTGCTATTGTTTTCTTTGTTTCTGATTCATTTATTTCTGCTCTCATCTTGATGATTTCTTTCATTCTGCTCACTTTGGGTTTTGTTTTTTCTTCTTTCTCTAGTTCCTTTAGGTGTAAGCTTAGATTATTTATTTGAGATTTTTCTTGTATTTTGAGGTAGGCTTGCATAGCTATAAACTTCCCTCTTAGTACTGCTTTTGCTGCATCCCATAGGTTTTGGATAGTCGTGTTTTCATTGTCATTTGTCTCTAGGTATTTTTTGAGTTCCTCATTGATTTCATCAGTGATCTCTTGGTTATTTAGTAACGTATTGTTTAGCCTCCACGTGTTTGTGTTTTTTACATTTTTTTCCCAGTAATTCATTTCTAATCTCATAGCGTTGTGGTCAGGAAAGACGCTTGATATGATTGCAATTTTCTTAAATTGACTGAGGCTTGGTTTGTGACCCAAGATGTGATGTATCCTGGAGAATGTTCCTTGTGCACTTGAGAAGAAAGGGTAATCTGCTGTTTTTGGATGGAATGCCCTATAAATATCAATTAAATCTCTCATGTCTATTGTGTCATTTAAAGTTTCTGTTCCCTTATTTATTTTCATTTTGGATCATCTGTCCATTGGTGTAAGTGAGGTGTTAAAGTCCCCCACTATTATTATGTTACTGTCGATTACCTCTTTTAGAGCTGTTAGCAGTTGCCTTATGTATTGAGGTGTTCCTATGTTGGGTGCATATATATTTATAATTGTTATATGTTCTTCTTGGATTGATCCCTTGATCATTATGTAGTGTCTTTCCTTGTCTCTTGTAACATTCTTTAAAGTCTGTTTAATCTGATATGAGTATTGCTACTCCAACTTTCTTTTGATTCCCATTTGCATGGAATATCTTTTTCCATCCCCTCACTTTCAGTGTGTATGTGTCCCTAGGTCTGAGGTGGGTCTCTTGTAGATGGCATATTTATGGGTCTTGTTTTTGTATCCATTCAGCAAGCCCGCATCCTTTGGTTGGAGCATTTAATCCATTCACGTTTAAGGTAATTATCAATATGTATGTTCCTATGACCATTTTCTTAATTGTTTTGGGTTTGTTTTTGTAGGTCCTTTTCTTCTCTTGTGTTTCCCACTTAGAGAAGTTCCTTTAGCATTTGTTGTAGAGGTGGTTTGGTGGTGCTGAATTCTTTTAGCTTTTGCTTGTCAGTAAAGCTTTTGATTTCTCCATCAAATCTGAATGAGATCCTTGCTGGGTAGAGTTATCTTGGTTGTAGGTTCTTCCCTTTCATCACTTTAAGTATATCATGCCACTCCCTTGTGGCTTGTAGGTTTTCTGCTGAGAAACCAGCTGTTAACCTTATGGGAGTTCCCTTGTATGTTATTTGTCCTTTTTCCCTTGCTGCTTTGAAGAATTTTTCTTTTTCTTTAATTTTTGCCAATTTGATTACTATGTGTCTCAGCATGTTTTTCCTTGGGTTTGTCCTGTATGGGACTCGCTGTGCTTCCTGGACTTGGGTGGCTATTTCCTTTCCCATGTTAGGGAAGTTTTCGACTATAATCTCTTCAAATATTTTCTCGGGTCCTTTCTCTCTTCTCCTCTGGGACCCCTATAAAGCGAATGTTGTTGCATTTAAGGTTGTCGCAGATGTCTCTTAGGGTGTCTTCATTTCTTTTCATTCTTTTTTCCTTATTCTGTTCCGTGGCAGTGAATTCCACCATTCTGTGTTCCAGGTCACTTATCCGTTCTTCTGCCTCAGTTATTCTGCTACTGATTCCTTCTAGTGTAGTTTCATTTCGGTTATTGTATGGTTCATCTCTGTTTGTTTGTTCTTTAATTCTTCTAGATCTTTGTTAAACATTTCTTGCATCTTCTCGATCTTTGCCTCCATTCGTTTTCCGAGGTCCTGGATCACCTTCACTATCATTTTTCTGAATTCTTTTTCTGGAAGGTTGCCTATATCCACTTCATTTAGTTGTTTTTTGGGGGTTTTTTCTTGTTCCTTCATCTGGTACATAGCCCTCTGCCCTTTCATCTTGTCTATCTTTCTGTGAATGTGGTTTTTGTTCTGCGGGCTGCAGGATTGTAGTTCTTGCTTCTGCTGTCTGCCCTCTGGTGGATAAGGCTACCTAATAGGCTTGTGTAAGTTTCCTGATGGGAGGGACTGGTGGTGGGTAGAGCTGGGTGTTGCTCCAGGTGGGCAGAGCTGAGTAAAACTTTAATCTGCTTGACTGCTGGTGGGTGGGGCTGAGTTCCCTCCCTGTTGGTTGTTTGACCTGAGGCAACCCAACGCGGGAGCCTACCTGGGCTCTTTGGTGGGGCTAATGACAGACCCTGGGAGGGCTCACGCCAAGGAGTACTTCCCAGAACTTCTGCTGCCAGTGTCCTTGTCCCTACGGTGAACCACATCCACTGCCCGCCTCTGCAGGAGACCCTCCAACACTAGCAGGTAGGTCTGGTTCAGTCTCCTATGGAGTCACTGCTCCTTCCCCTGGGTCCCAATGTGCACACTACTTTGTGTGTGCCCTCCAAGAGTGGAGTCTCTGTTTTCCCCCGTCCTGTCGAAGTCCTGCAATCAAATCCCACTTAGCTTTAAAGTCTAATTCTCTAGGAATTCCTCCTCCTGTTGCCGGACCCCCAGGTTGGGAAGCCTGACGTGGGGCTCAGAACCTTCACTCCAGTTGGTGGACTTCTGTGGTATAAGTGTTCTCTAGTCTGTGAGTCACCCACCCACCCAGCAGTTATGGGATTTGATTGTACTGTGATTGCACCCCTCCTACCGTCTCACTGTGGCTTCTCCTTTGTCTTTGGATGTGGGGTATCTTTTTTGGTGAGTTCCAGTGTCTTCCTGTCGATGATTGTCCAGCAGCTAGTTGTGATTCTGGTGTTTTCACAAGAGGGAGTGAGAGCACATCCTTCTGGTCCACCATCTTGGTTCCTCATCTGTTTGTTTGTTCTTTCTGTAGCTCCTTTTCTTTCTTTTAGTCAAATTCAATAAGCCTGTTACAAACTTCAAATGTGAAGGGATGATCAGATCAAGAGCTTACCTTGTTGAGCTTGAATGTTTTGGGCTATCAGTTGTAATTTAAAATCCACTAAAATCAAAACTCTTTATAGTACCAGTTTTGATTTTAAGATGTGAGGTGATAGCTGTTTCTTCTCTGTGAAATACTTTGAAACTTTATACTGACAATGGAGCATAACTTGGTTATTGAGAACTATTATAACACCAGGTATTACCTACAAACTGTTTGTGGTGGGAAAATGGCAGTCATTTCAAAAACTGTCAGCATGAAAAATCAGATGAGGAAGGTGCTGAGTGGGTGGGCATGACCCAGCATGACCCAGTTCTTCAGCCATTTCTATGATGGACTTATTCAGGTCTGGGTGTTCTGAGCCCAGGTGCTGAGAGTCTTCATTTTGAGCAAGCCATCTAGCAGACTCACACCTTTCCTGATACTGATACTTGAGAGCCAGTAGTCAAACTGATGGCCTTTTTTTTCCTTCTGATGCTGTATTGGCCAGGGTCACAGCAGGGCTGGTTAAGTGGAGCCCAAGTACATCATATGTTACCGACTCACAGGTAATTGGGGATTTTGTATTTGTCAAGTGTAGCAGGTAATAGAAGACAACTTTGGCCACCTTAAGTAGAGAAGAAATTATTGGAACGATATGGTGGTGTGAGATATAACTTAAGGATTAGGGTTGAAGAGGGATGAACCACGGTATCTCTAGGTATATATGTATCAGATGCTAACTAATGGTTAGTTAGAGCTGGGATGAGTTAGCTTCAAACTTCATTATGTTTATTTTTGATCTTGTGCACATTCCTTACCCAGAGGGGAGAGCACTCTCTGGCTGCACCCAACTGAGAAGAAAATTTCTCAATAAGCGGTTATCAAAAGTAAGGCTGAACGGATGTCTAATCTATCAGATTCTGATGTTATCAACGTAAGACACACATGATGACTCAAAGAAACTAGCTAAGAGTTGAATTGCATTCTAAGATTAATTAAAAACTTTCAAACTTTCTTCATCTTCAGCCTGAATATGCCAATGTTTGCTTTTGGTACATTCCACCGAGCCTCAGAGAGATGGAGGAAGGACCTGAATTCTGGGCAAAACTTCATTTGGTGAGTGATAAGCATATTGCATTTTTTCCTTTGGATGAAATAGATTCAATGCCCATTGTCTATTGATCCTATAAATGATTTGGTACCTGCAAGAACTTCTTGAGGATCTAGAGAGGTTGTTCTTAGTATATTAAAAGTTAATGACATGCCAAACAGTTGTGAGCATTTGTTAAAATAAATCAAGATACTTGACACACACATATTCAAAATAATTGTGCTGTTTGCAAGAGAGTGGTAGAATTTATCAGAAGTTCTAATTCACAGTGCACTTCAGAGCACATGATCTGGTAATGGTTAATGTCGTATGATGAATGGCTTCTTCCTTAAACTCTGCTGGTGCATGTCTGTGACTGCTTGCATCACTTCACTAGCAGATAATGTTAAAGTCTAAATCTGGTACCCTTTGTGAGTGTGAGACTTTCTCTTCTTTCCACCAAGGGGCTTATGTGATAAAAAAGAAAAGAAATGTCAGCAATGAATTTCAATTGATCATTGAACTAAATGTGACTTGCAAACCCCTCCTTACCCTCAGTGTGGAAATCAATGATAGTTTTAACAGCTTTGATAGGTGATAGCCCTTCTCCTTGCCCTCTAGAAGAAAAGGAAAAACTTGCCAGTCATGCAAGGGACAGACATTTAGCACTCACTGTGCCAGGCACTGGAGATATAAACATCAAAGAGACTTGGTCCCTGCCCTGGGAAACTCATATTCTAGGAGACAAATGAGTAAAGAGATCATCACCAGGTAACTAGTAGGTGCCTAGATGAAGAGAAACCCTGTAAAGGCAGAGAGAAAGGATATCTACACCAAAGTGTGACACTAGATTGGAGTCTTGGACAATAAGTAGGTGTGAGTCGGTGACAACTGTGAAGAAGTGGGTTCCAGGAAGAATCACAACATCATGGCCCAGAGGCTAAGAGGGGAGGGTGTGATCGAAGACCACAGTGGGGCAGGGGACAGTGCTAGGAGTAGGACAAGAGCAGCAGGCACGGGAGCGCACGGAGGCCTCATCTTCCATGACAGGTGCTTGGAATTTGTGCCTAGTTAGGTAGAGGTGGGAAGACCATGGCCTTTAAGTCATAGCCACCTGGATCCTCACCTGCAGCATCTTCTTTAGCCTTAGGCCAGTTTCTGTTTATTCATGGCTCATTTAGCCTCCTTCAAGGTAGCACAATACATACTCAATATATAAATGTCTTACCTCTTGTTAAACCTGAGGTCAGGCAGCAGAGATGGGGAGAGATGGACAGAGTTACCTGTGCCTTTGCCTAGACAAACACTCCATTGGCCATATCAGGCAGTTAGCATGGTCCTTGGATCTGGTTTGTCTTTTTGTCACACAATGTAAATGAGAAAGTGCTAAAGAATACATTTCAGATGGTAAGTGACTCAAAAAGAAACGACGTGAGAATTTAATGGTGATGTTTCCAGGGACATTTTGCACTTTGATGGAATGCATCAGGCATTGTTTGGTGATGTTGAGAAGGATATGGCTGCCATCCTTCTCACTTTCTGATTGTTAAGAAAAGCAACCGAGGAGGTGATATTTGTGTTTTATGGACTCAATACTGTTGCATGGACACGGATCAGGATAAGTAAATAGTCTCTTTATGTTTGGGGATACTATGGACTCACTCTTCCATTGTTTAAAGAAATATTTACATTATCTAGTCTCAGAAAATTTGAAATTGAGGATGGGTATATAAGCTAAAATCAGATAAATCAGCATATAATACACTTTTAATCTTAACTGGAGATCAAATATGAATCAGGACAGTCTCTTCTCTCCCCAGTATTCTCCAGCATCAGTTCTCTCATGATTGACATACATGATTCTCCATCCCTTCATTTTGGAAACACTTTTCTGCCATGGAAAAGTGAACCATGGGGCCCTTGCCCAGTCTAATATCATATTATTTTAATTGTTCTGGTTGCTTCTGATTCCTAAACATGTATGCTGCAGATGAATCATCATTGGTTCTGTCTTAGTTTCCTTTTATCCTCTCTCTTGGCATGGGTGTGTGTGCATGAATTTGGCAAGGAAGGGAGGCATATATATCTGTTGTTGATCTATGTGGTTTCATGCTTACTGTAGTATAAGAATGCAAGTATATGATTTATAACCTGGAGTGTACTTAAAGCACACTTGAAATTTGTTTTAGGATTTATCTTGGATGGAGAATCACAAACAAATAAATAAACCGAATAAGGCTTCGCCCCTCCAATTCAGACTCATGTCAGGCGGAGCTGTCAGATTTCAGAATCAGTGGTGTGATAAGTCTTCCCTTTGGCAGCAGGAGGGGAGCGGGATTATTTCATAAAGAACCTGGAGTTTGGGTGTGTGTGTGTGTGTGTGTGTGTGTTTGTGTGTGTGTTTGTATATATGTGTGCGCGCACACACGTGAGACTGTTTTTGAGAACACAGTCACTCTGCTGTCTACTGATGCTGTGACAGCCCCTCTCTGACACTGTGTTCAACCACCGAGTTCCAGCAACTCCTTTTTTTAAAATGTCCTCCATGAAAGTTCTTCTTTTTGGTTTTTTCAGGCATTGCAGCATTCTGGGTCTTCATTAGTTCCCTGCCCAGGTTGTACTCGCTTCTTTTCTGGTCTCTGCCTCCTGTTTATTTTCCTTCCTCTCCGCACAGTCGTACCTGCAGCCCTGTTTTATCTTGTCATTTTCCTGCTGGAAGCCTCCAAATTACACTCGCAGCTTTCAACCCAATCGACCAATGACCACTGTTTATAATAAATGCTGTTAAATGTTCTCTTTATTCTCCTAAGATGAAACCAATAGAAAATAGGACCTACCTACACGGAATTTTGTAAAAGGCAATAGAAGGCCTTACATGTCATATGAAGGAAAAATAATCTTTATAATAAAGATATGTATTTCATTACATAAACGTTTGGCATGACAATATTAGAAGACACAAGGAAGTGATAAGATGCTCACACATCCTCTTAGAATCACTGTGAATGTGAGCCATCTTCAAACGCAGACTCTTAGAAGTAGGCGATGTTGCTGATGCCAATAATAGGAATGGGGTGATGTTAGTGACATAATTTTAAAAATGCACAAAATAAGTTTTTTTAAGGATGGATTTAAAATATTTAATTATTCAGAGATGCTCTAATCTTTTCTTCTTATACCAAAGGGATTGTCTTGTTTGGAGACCATGTTTATACCATAGTCAAATCAATTAGTTTGCAAACTAATTTCTCTCATGACTTGCTCCCAGACATAGTATATAATTTGTCTTCCCTTCCTACTTCTCTTTTTCTCTCTCCTTATCTCCTTACTGAAACACCTACACTATCTGCACTGATTTCAAGTTCAGAGACGTTGCCCCTGGGGTCCACAGTGAGAACTTCAGCAGGCTTCCCAGGGCTTCCTGAAAGCTGCCTGCTCTGTGGTCGAGGCAGACTTCACTCGCTAAGGTGGCTGCCCCAAATAAGATTATGTATATTTGTTTCTTCTCCCTTGGTGATCAGGTATGAAGGGCGAGGGAGTCAGGGAGAGAGGGCAAAGATAAAGCTGAAAGCATAAGACCCAGAGAATGTAATTTAAAATTTCATCAGTTTGTTTTATTTCATCATTACTCAATGTTCTGATGCAGAAGATTTCCTCTTTTGTCGACATTTCATAAACAGTCCTGCATTCCACCAACATAATTTACATTCTTAAAAGTAATTACCAAGGTGTCTCTTTGTACTTAAGCATGGTCATTTCAACTTTTTTTTTCATTCACTGGCCTGCAGATTTGTGACTAATGTTAGACATTTATAATAGGCTCATTTCTCCTCGACAGTAGGCAAAGAATAAATCTTTTAGAAACTACTAGATGGGTTTGTTGTTTTGCTTATTTGGTGATATAACTTGATATGGTATTCCAAATATCTTTGGAGAGAATCTAGTGTTCTCCCTGGCGGGTTTCTGATGAACAGCACTTGAAGATGAGACAGCGTAGACTGGGTAGGGTTGTGTGCTTTCAAGGATGCCCACTTTCTGGGTTTGGATCAGGGAGGGCCTCAGTGCCCCTGGCTGTGCTTCACTTGTTTCCGCTGTGTGTGTGTATGTGCATGTGTGTTCACATGAGTGCATATGAGTCCATACACATTTTGAGGTCTTCTATGTATTTTGAGGACTTTGATTCTGATTTTCTTTCCCTCATCATCTGTAACATTTGCTTAGCAAGCACTCATTTTTGGATTGTGAAAAAAAACCCCGTTTCTTTAAAGGTGTGACAGTGTTTTGTTTTGTTTTTTTAATTTTCAAAGATGAGTTTCTTTTTTAACCCTGTAATATAGAAATTATAACGTCTTCAAAAATCCTGTTTGCTAGTGGATATCCCTCATTTTAAAGCTCTACTTTAAAAAAATTATATTTAAGGAGAATGTAATATAGAAGTATCTTAAAATAAAATATTTCTGAGTGTGACTTGAGACTCTCTCCTTCTGATGATGGCTGGGATGTCGATTTTGAAAATGCTTAATGTACTAAATACTTAAGGTACTATTTCTTGCAGATACTATATTCTCTTTCCCCAAATTATTAAGACCTGAGATAAAATGCTGTTCTTTTAACTATTCTCTCAGGGAGAGATGTTATTTTCTACAATCTGTCAGATATTCTACTAGCTGTAATCAGTTTCTTCTGTGTCATTAAGGGTCAAGGAGCTTCTTAAGTAAGTCCTGTGTGTCTGGCCTTCTTCAGAAATCAGCTGGGGAAGCTGGGTGTCCCTTCTGTTGAAGGACATGGGATACTCTGTCTTATAGCTTTTATGCCCATCTCTCTTCCCCAGTTGTTTACTACTTTAGAAAGTAGAGCTTTCTAAATAGCTCTACTCCATTGGATCAATAAAATTTCAAGCATTAAGATTCCAACAGCATCCTTGTTGGATATGCGTGTACCATGGGGAAGTTCACATGAGTTGACCTTTGTATTCAACAACACCTTTCAACATGTAGAATACATTTGCCAAATTGGTGTTGTTAAT